TGCTGAATATAATGTCTCACGCAACAGAGAGAAACTCCCTCTGGAGGGAACACAGGGATTGCAGCCTTTGCAGACCATTTAAATGCACAAAGCCTATAAACCACACTACAGGGAAGGGAAAACCCCAATAGCCTAATAGGGCCTCTTTAATTGTGATTTTTCTTTAAAAACAATTTAATGTCTGTCTCACATGCTAAAGCATTTCTGACTGCAATTCATAGTGCCACATCAGATTCAACACAACTGGAATTAAAATCTATATCTGAATTCCAACAATACACAGATCCAGTTTCAGCAGTCTGATCAAACATCACATCTTAATTTGGCAACGTTCATGAAAAATCGAATAGTATACTTCAGGTGACACTGAAGGGAATTTAACCTAACATCCATGCCAATAGAGCTGCACGAATTGCGAATACTTTGACTGATATTGCAATCGAGATACTTATGGGAATGATCATTTTTGAAACATTATTCACCTTATCAATGAAAAATATCTTAACATGATCATGGTGGGATTTTTTAAGATATGTCTGTAGAATACAATTTGTAGTTAGGACTTCTCTTCAGCTACACAATAAAGATATTTTGACATATTTTGCCTTTACCAAATATTGAGTTTACTGCTATTTCATATTGCGATTTTGGTAAAATGTTTGATTGATTGTGCAAATTTACTTGCTAAATAGTCCTTTAACCTATCATCCCTGCAGGTAATGTTATCCAGGAAATGATCCTGGTTCTGTGTGACATTCAACTCCACATTCCACTAAAGCTCCACCTGATTGAACAGAGGGTTCCTGCCTGTATCAGCTCCCCTCAGCAGCAGCCATGTTCAGTGTTCCTTCTCTCCGTCCCACATGCTTCTCCCACATGGTTCTCCGTGTGGTTACTTAATGGTTTAATGAGCTGCTCATTTAAACCCATCTGTAATCTGCTTCTTCTACACCACAGCTACTATCTGCACACTCTTCTTCAGAAACCACTTTGACTGTTCCCTGTAAGCGTGAGTTTAACAGTTTTTAACGTCTGATGGACCTGAATTGCGTTTTCTGTTGGTCTGCTGCTAACATGCAACATATGATGTGTTAAAAAGTTCCATCTTTGGGAGAAATCTCCCAGACACATCACTGTATTTACTGCAGGGCTTGTTAGAAAGATCTGAGAGGAAATCTGGATCTAATGCCGAAACAATACCGGGATGGGACGAATTATCTTTTATTGGAAAGCAAGAGTGCTTACTCTTGTTGAAATTCAGTTTGATGTCAACTGCAGAGGCCTTTTTCACTAGGATGGCCCAAGGTGGGCACTGAGAAGGTCCTGTAGTTTAGAGAAAATGTGAGTCATTTAATAGTGAATGTCTTTTACAAACATCCAATTGAATTTCATTTTCCCTTGAAAAGAAAAGCCAAGAACAGGTTTGTGTATCTTGTCAAGAATCAAAGAAAATCTGATTCGTAATGTAGGATCTTTCAAAAACCGCATTAGGGCTTAAAAATTGGTTCTCTTTTCTTTAAAGGGGACCTATCATGCAAAATGCACTTTTGTACGTCTTTTATACATGAATATGTGTCCCCGGTGTTCCAGGGAACTCACCAAGTGTCAGAAAACACAACCCTCTCTATTTTCCTCCATACCCAAATCTCTAAAAAAGGGGCTGCAACGGATCTGATAAAAACTGATCCAGATTTGAACACTGTCCTGACGTCAGGACAGTGGCGCTACGGCTATTGGGCCAACTCCACCAATCAGGAGGAGACAGCCACGGCCATTGCCGTATGAAAGCGCTGGAGACGCTGTAGTACATATGCCAGGCCTGTAGATGGTGCTGTTCTCACTGAATCTGCCCAGAGCTAGAAATTGTCAAATTGAGCAAAATGAGGCATGGCTAAAATGCATGATCTGTTTGGTATTTTGAAAAACAAAAAGTATAAATATGCCTTATATAGGTATGGTCCTACACTATATTATTCAAACATAGCATGATAGGTCCACTTTAAGATTGTGTTAACAACAGACAGTATTTCATTGTCAGTCTGTTTTCTTACCAAAATCAGGAATCTAACCAAAAAAAGTTTGAAAAAAACGTTGACTTTGAGACTAGGGAACTGAAAATGCTAAAATGCTAACTGATTTCATGGGATTAGGACTTCCTGCAGCACTCTATACACTGCACATCTTCAAGGCTTTGGATACACCTTTATTAAGGCTTTGGATACACCTTTAAAAGCGTGATGAAAGGAAATAAGTCCTTTTACAACAAACACTATACTGTATGCTTTTTTAGTTTTTAGTAACATTGTATTCCTGTGAGTAATTCTTAAAAATCCAAGGTAATCTGATTACGTCAAATAACATTTTTTTTGTATCCTGACTACCTAATCCCGTAACATGTAATCCGTTACTCCCAAGGCCTATCATTACACAAACATGACTGATACACATAAAACCATTGTCAGTCTTTGTTCTAACCAGAATCGGGAATCTAACCAAAAAACTAGGAACTGAACGTGCTCAAGTGCTAACTAATTTCCCGGGTTTAGGACTTCCTGCACCACTCTATACACTGCACATCTTTAGGGCTTTGGATACACCTTGAAAGTGTCAGGAAAGGGAAGAAGTGCTAAACATCAGCTGTGGAATGATCCCCCTCTATCTGAGTGGCTCTGTTGTTGGTTTGTTCAGAGAGTGAAGGGAGCTCTCAGTCTGAGCCAAACACTGAGCTCTGTTGTGAAATCACTCCGAGAGTCTCTGTAGCTGCAGGCAGCTCTCAGTCAACAGATATTAAATCTGAGTTTCACAATCATGAAGCTGTAGAAGTAAACCTAGAGGGGGGTATTTATGACTTGATTATTGGCTGACAAAACTCACTTTTTAGTAGTTGAACATCCTCAAAAAAGCGATAATGAAAAGTTCCCAGGGAGCAAAGTTTTGTCCGGACAACAGTCTTAAAATATCTGTAATATTTCTGTAGCCTCGCTAGAATAACCCTATAATATCACTTTAATCTTCGCTATAATATTAATATGATATGATATCCCTTATAATATCACAACAATATCCTCTAAATGTTACAATAGTTTTCCTATTGCATCAGTATAATATCCCTTTAATATCACAATATTATTTATATAGCATCACTAATATCCCCTATAACATACATATAACATCAATATAATATGCATATAGACTCACTTTAAAAACCTCTAGAATATTACTTTTCAGTTCATAAAACATTAATTCATTCCTAATATCTTACCAATACGAAAACACCAATGTACATATTGTAAACTAAAAAGTATATTCTATATTCTATTTTATTTATTTTATGTTTGATTGCACATGTTAATTTAATTTATTATGTTAAAGGTGGGGTAGGTACGTTTGAGAAACCGGCTCGAGGTACACTTTTTGTTATATTCCATTGAATGCTCTTAACATCCCGATAGCAATGAATATCTTAAGTGGTTTGACAAAAAATCCATAAAAAAATGTCATCTGTGGAAGCTGTAGTACTGTAAAAAGCACGACCAATCATTTTAGCCGGCCCGGCTAAAATAACTGGATGGCCTACATGCCTGTCAGCCTTCCATCTGTGCACACACTTATCTCGTGCCCTCATTGGTCATGTGCGCGTTCGTGTGTGTTGGAGGAGGGGCTCTGTAAGGAAGTGGCAGATTTTCTCCGGTTGTGTATTTTCAAATTCTAGCGATCTCGAGCCGGTTTCTCAAACTTACCTACCCTACCTTTAACATAAGTATCTTTATTTTATATTGCAAATATTTAATTGAATGTTTTATATTTAGAGAAATATATTTTTACGTATAGAATTATTGTTACTAGTTGTTGTTACTTAGTTTATTTTTGATTTATTTAAATGTAATTAAGACTTAAATGAAAAAGCAACTGTCACGGTGCGTTTCTCTTGACAGATAGAGTAATAGGATTCTGATTCAAATATATTCTCCTAAAATATCACAAAAATATTACTTTACTAGACATTAAATATTCCCACAGCATCACTATTAAATCTCCTTTATTATCACTATAATATTCATACATCATCACTTTAATTCCCCCCATTACATCAGTAACATATGTAGCATCACTTTAATCTTCCTTCAGCACCATAATATTCCGATAGCATCACTATTATGTACTTCAATATTTTCCACGTAATTGCTGCAAGTCTGTACATTCTTATAATGTACCTTCTAAGATATTCATATGAATCTGATTTTGCATTAAAATATCTATCTATATGAATTTAAACTTTATGAGAGGGGATAGCATTGCACTGATGCTGCAGACATCCATCAAACTAAGTATGTGTAAAGTAACTGAGTAGATTTACTCAAGTACTGTACTTAAATACAATTGTGAGAGACTTGTACTTTGCTTAAGTATTTCAATGTTTTGCTACCTTGTGCTTCTACCCTTCTTACAATTCAGAGGTAAATATTGTACTTTTACTCCACTATATTCATTTATAACCTTTAGTTACTATGCACATTTAGATTAATGAAGTCAAATATTAACAACACTTCACAAACAGTTACACCTGGAGTAAATTCACAAGCTACCCTACATTATATAAAGTAATTAAAACTAGCTGCACCTTTACCAGCTTTGATAACACTGATCAATCATTATAAAACATATCGTATACTATTCTGAAATGGACCAATCTGCACAATAACTACTTTAACTATTAGCCTACCAGTTGAAGTATATTTTGATGATAATATTTGTGTACTTTTACTTGAGTGCCATTTGGAATCCAGGACTTTTACTTGTGACAGAGTATTCCTACACTCTATACTTCTACTTTTACCCAAGTACCAGATTTGAGTACTTGTTGATGTCTCCTGTAGGCCTCGGTGTGCAGAACTGATCTCAGATCTGTTCAGCAGAGATAGTTCCCGCACCATGATTTCTCGTTACTTCACCGTTCCCGTCAGTTAGATACGGTTAAAGCTTAACGGTGAGCTGGTTACCTGTCCGCGGTTCCCTCCGGATACACAACAGCAGCGAGCCTCTCTCCGGTGGGATCCACTTTTCTCTGCGTGCAGTCCGGCAGGTCGGCGGGGGAGTCGTCGGTGACAGGCGGAGGAATCAGAGGATCATTGTGGAGGAACCTAACGGGAACTTACTCTCTGCGATGGCTCACCGTCCGCCGTGTTTTCCTGCTTTTTGTTCCTCTTCTTCTGGTTTTCCTTCAACAAAGTGTTGCAAGAAGAAGGGCAGCAAAATCCAAAGAGAGGGGAACAAAAAAAAAAGTTGTATTTACATCACATCCCGTTTCCAAAGAGGAAAAGGAGGAGGAGGAGGAGGAGGAGGAGGAGGAGGAGGAGGAGGAGGAGGAGGAGGAGGAGGAGGAGGAGGAGGAGGAGGAGGCAACATGAGCCCCCGAGTTTCTGACATCTGAGAACTTGTAGGAAATCCGCAGTAGAGTGAACTACGGAGGGCAGATTACACCAGAAGTACTCAGATCTTGTACTTGAGTCAAAGTAGAAGTAGCCTACCAGAGTGTAGGAATACTCTGTTACAAGTAAAAGTCCTGCAATATAAACAAGGTTACTGAAGTAAAAGTATAAAAGTATTAGCTTCAAAGTACTTAAAGTAGCGACAGTAAAAGTAGTCATTGTGCAGATTGGTCCATTTCAGACTAATATATATGATATGTTTTATAATGATTGATCATTAAAGTGTTCTCAAAGCTGGTAAAGGTGCAGCTAGTTTGAATGACTTTGTATACTGCAGGGTAGCTTGTGAATTTACTCCAGGTGGAACTAAAGTCTGATTTAACACTTGATTATATTTCACATCATTAATACACATCTGCAAAGTAACTAAAGGTATTAAATAAATGTAGTGGAGTAAAAGTACAATGTTTTCCTCTGAATTACAGTGGGGTAGAAGTACAATGTAGCACAACATTGAAATACTCAAATGAAGTAGAAGTACCTCAAAATTGTAATTAAGTACAGTACTTGAGTAAATGTGCTTAGTTACTTTGCACCACTGAGTAGGGCAGTTGCACCAGTATACTGTCATTTTAAGCCTGTAAATAACCATAATGCAGAACCATATCTGGTATCTGGATTTGGATGACTACATTAGCTGCTTTACCGTAGAAGGGCAGAGATCACTACATTTGCTATAGATGTTGAAACCCTTCTTTATTTTTAAATAAATACATTTAGTAATAACTTCCCCCTTGACTTATATATTTTAAATATTTTGTAAATTAATTTGTTATACAATTTAGCAGTTATAAAGGTCTATAATCTTGTATTTTCTTGTGGAAATGTATGATATTTTAAAGGATGCTTATTCATGTTTTTAATAGCTTGATCCCAAATTCGGGGTGTATAAAATAGCAATGAAATGTTATAAATGAAGAGGTTTTTAAAACATGTTTTGCATTGATTACATTGACAGAGATCTGTTATATTTGTACATTAAAAGAACATATTGTAAAAAAAAATACAAATTATTCAGTTAATTTGATATATTACCTCCTTAAACACTCTCATGTTAACATTTAAAACATAATTTACTTATTGAAGTTGGTATGATTAATTTAATTTGACCCGTAAAGTTAAGGAATCAGGTTTACTGTTTTACATTTTATTATTTTGAAAGAAATCACAAAGGAATCAAAGTTACATCATAATAAATACAATGTACTTATTATTTCAATATAATGTAAATGTGTTTGCAATATACATAGGTTATCATTTGAAATGAGAAAAAATGTCATGCTAATGTAACGAGCAGTTCAGCCACAGTGTGTGTCTCTGTCTCTGTGCGTGTGTGTGTGTGTGTGTGTGTGTGTGTGTGTGTGTGTGTGTGTGTGTGTGTGTGTGTGTGTGTGTGTGTGTGTGTGTGTGTGTGTGTGTGTGTGTGTGTGTGTGTGTGTGTGTGTGTGTGTGTGTGTGTGTGTGTGTGTGTGTGCGTTTCAGCCAGCAGAGGGCAGCAGAGTTTCAAATTAAAACAGACAGTTTCAAAGCTGCAGGAACTCTCTAACTCTTTTCCTTTTTAGCATTTAAGTTATGACGCAGAAGTCTTTAGCTTTTTATATCATTATTTTATTTTGAAAACCTGAACGTTTCTTTATTTTCTTTCCTTTTCATAACTTAGTCTTACATTCAGTCCAGATGGTCTCCTTCCTCTCTGTTCTTCTTGTGTTTTTCCACGAGCAGATGAAATCCTCCAGCAGAGAGAGGTGTTACCCGTTTTTTTATTCTTCTCCTTAAAATACATGTTTCATCATCCGACACGTGACGTCACTTCCTCTCTAAAGCTTCTTATGTTCCCCTGTTGACAGCATTCCCCTAGTGACGCAAGAGGCCTCTGCACTGTGTACACTAAAACAAAGATGGCAATTAGAGGGGGTCCACACACGCACACACACACACACACACACACACGCACACACACACACACACACACACACACACACACACACACACACACACACACACACACACACACACACACACACAGTGGTAGGCTGTTGTTTGATATTTCTTCACAGTGAAGTTCATCCTGCTGATCTCTCGACCTCTGAGTGTTACAACACTGTACACATTATCAAACAATTAGGAATCATCTTATTATTATTGACGAGTGAATTATTAAAATACAACAGGTCACTAAAAGAAGATGTTTAAATTGTTGTGTTGATTTTTCGGCCTTTATACGATACGATATGCTTTATTGTCCACGTAAGGACATTTCTTCTGGACTCTGTCCTGCAGTTCCACATACATGTATATACAAACATAGTTAACATTAACATATATTAAAATATTATCACTCATACACCGTTGGCACATGCAGTACACAATACACAGACGCACAGATGGCGACCTATTGCATTGCATTGACCTCATGGCCAACATTTAAATGTATATTACATTACATGTGAGTGTTGAGAAGTGTAATGGACATAGGCAGGAAAGACTGCTTCCAATGTTGATATATGTCTGAAAACATTTAAATAAGTAAAGGATATTAGCATTTCAAATTGAATTATTGTATAAATACATGAGAAACAAAATACAAGTATTTAAAAAATCTCTCACAGGATTTAAAAAAAAAAAAAATTGTAACACTGTTAGAATTGCAAGCTTGGTGATTTACTAATTGATCAAATTGTCTTCTCACAAAAACTATAATGTCAAGCTCAAAGGCTTTCCATAATGTAAATCAACAAAAAAGGTTTTTGTGAATGTCTTGTTTTCTGTCTTAATTTGTGATGTGTGCCATGTTTGAAAGCACTTTGAGCTGCGCCTGGTGTATGAAAAGTGCTTTACAAATACATATTTTTTATTATTAGCTTTAAAAAAAGTACATTTACAATCATGAGGCTGCATCAAACAAATTAAGGATAAGAACACAAATAACGATTAAATAATAATGACTGTTTTGATGATTGGATAGGCGTTTTATTTTTGGAAATAACCACATTTGTTTTTATTATAACGTACATTTTTGTTGTAATTTAGTTTCTTTAAAAAAACTTCGCCATTAATGCTAACGTCAGTATGCTACAGTGATTACATTGAACCATTTTAACATGTTGATGTTTAATAAGGTGTTCACCATGTTCACATCTTAGTTTAGCATGTTAGCATGCTAAGACTGACAATAAACACAAAGAACAGCAGAGGCTAATGGGATCGCATTAGTTCTGGAGGTATTTAGCCACAAAACACATTCAAATGTTGACCTTGTCCCTGCTGGACAACATGCTCCCCCAGGACACCATGTCTGCACTCAGCTCTTTCAGTGACAGGCTGCACCCGGGGTGTCACATGGAGAGATACCGCAGGTCCTTTCTCCTGCAGCAGTCAGAATCTACCACCACAGCTCCTGGTAGACCCCCCCACACACAACAACAACGACTATGACACCACAGCTGTGCAATAACACGTATCTGCAATATGTTCCTCGTTACATTTTTTATTATTACTGGCTGCCTTCTTAGTATGACAACTTGAATACTGTAACAAGAATCTGTCTGTAACTCTGTGCAATATATAATTTTACCTCTGAGCTTCTACCACGCTACTTCTACCCAAATGAATACTTTGCAAATTGTAATAAGTTTTATTACGAATGTGTACTTTTCGTAATAACTCTACTTTAAATGTTATGTGCATGCCCTTTATCTAATAGTGTTTAATTCTTATGATGGTGCGAGATACAATTAATTACTGGATCACCAATGTCAATACAATTCATCCAGAGAGCAACATGAATGTCTGAACCACATTTCAACGTGATCAATCGAAAAGAGGAAACGTCAGGCAATCATCAAAGCCGGTAGGATTCAACCTCTGGGGAACAAGAATAGTTGTTCATGTTTCATGGTGTTCCATCCATTGGTTGTTGACATTTTTCAAGTTGGACTAATGTTGTAACCCAACCAAGATCACCTTCAATAAAACCAGAACTGAATGTTTGTGTTGTAATCAGATTAGTTTATTTTTGTATTATAATAAAAAGCTTTATTGAATGTGTTGCCCTGACACAAATTCAGTATCATGGAGAGTAGTATTTCTATAGAGGAAGTGATGTCACTGCTAATGGTGATATCATGGTAAAAGCCCAGCGTTACACATAGTTTGATTTGTCTTCACAATGAAGTTCATCCTGCTGATCTCAACCTCTGAGTGTTACAACACAGTATACATGACTAAACTTGTCTGAATCGTCAGAGAAATATTATAATACAACAAGTCATTAAAACAAGAGGGGAGGGGTTTATTTTTTCGGCACTTACAATATTGATATCTGTCTGAAACATTTAAGTAGGTAAAGGTTATGTGCTGGCTGCTAAACTAGCATTTCAAATATAATGATTGTAATAAATGAGAAAAGAAAATACAAGTATTCAAAATAGTTTTACATTTTGTAAGTTTGGTGATTTACTAATTGATAAAATTGTCTTCTCTTCTAAAAAGACTATTTTGTAAAGCTCAAAGGTTTTCGATAGTGTAAATCATCAAATCCTACACCAAAATGTAGAGTTAATAAGTCTTAATGAATTAACACTATTACGTCACAGAGGGAACTTTTGTTGAAGGTACTCAGTTAGGCCATCTCACCAGTGGCGACTGGTCATTAGGGGCAGGTGGGGCACAGCCCCACCTAGTGTCAGCAGAAAGTATTACAAATAATGATTACAAAAATGCAAAAAAATAAATAAAAAAATATATAAAATATATTTTAAGATCATGTTTAATCATCTGATTCGTCTGTACATTGCTGT